TATCCCTTCCGCCTGGAGGCTTGCAGCCCCCCCAGTCGGACATCTTGAGCCAAAATGGCTACGGAGGACGGGGAGGAGGACGAGGACGAGGACAAGGAGGAGGAGGAGGAGGGGGAGGATTTGTCGGGGGGGGGGGCTCCACGCCCCAACGCCTGCCCAGCCCACCAGCGCGGTGGGAATCACTCGCCGCAGCGGAGGGGGATGCGGAATATATATATATATATATATATAATTATCCCGGCAAAGCAACCTAACAGCGATGTGTAGGAGCATATCTGGAAGCATTCCCCTTCAGATTCAGATGAGAATCCCGTTGTAGAGTTCTGTTGTTCTCGCAGTCGTAGTCGCATTCGCGATGACAGTCGCAGCGGCAACGGCAGTCGCAGTCACAGCCTCAGCCTCAGCCTGCCTCAGCCTCAGCCTCGGCCTGCTTCTGCCTCAGCCTCAGTCTGCCTTCAGCCTCGGCCTCAGCCTCAGCCTGCCTCAGCCTCAGCCTGCATCAGCCTCAGCCTCAGCCTCAGCCTGCCTCAGCATCAGCCTGCCTCAGCCTCAGCCTCAGCCTGCCTCAGCCTCAGCCTCAGCCTGCTTCAGCCTCAGCCTCAGTCTGCCTTCAGCCTCGGCCTCAGCCTCAGCCTGCCTCAGCCTCAGCCTGCCTCAGCCTCAGCCTCAGCCTGCCTCAGCATTCAAAATGTGGCCCAGGAATGGAATTCTGGGAACTAGAAGAACACGAAGTGGCCTACAGTTGGCTCCGGGCATTCAAAATCATGCCCAGGAATGAAGTTCTGGGAACTCGAAGAGCACGAAGTGGCCTACAGTTGGCTCCGGGCATTCAAAATGTGGCCCGGGAATGGAGTTCTGGGAAGTCGAAGAGCACGAAGTGGCCTACAGTTGGCTCCGGGCATCCAAAATGTGGCCCGGGAATGGAGTTCTGGGAAGTCGAAGAACACGAAGTGGCCTACAGTTGGCTCCGGGCATCCAAAATGTGGCCCGGGAATGGAGTTCTGGGAAGTCGAAGAGCACGAAGTGGCCGACAGTTGGCTCCGGGCATTCAAAATGTAGCCCGGGAATGGAGTTCTGGGAGGTCGAAGAGCACGAAGTGTGTGACTGTTTGCAAAAAACGAGTTCGGACACGACTTCGGACACAGCTCCCCGGATGCCGCCCCGACCCCCCTGTGGAGTCATCTGCTGCTCTCTTTTGAGTCCACTAGAAACCTATCAGCAAAAGCTGTTAGGTAAAAAAACCCACAGAATTCCTTAGGATTCCCTCAGGATTCCTAGGCGCTCATACACTTCAGGGATTCCTGAGGCGCGCAAGCGCGAACCCGGACGGGAACGGCGTGCGGTCTGCGCAAGGATTCCTTAGGATTCCATTGGGATTCGCTGAGGATTCGGTAGCATTCCTTAGGATTCCTTAGGGTTCCTTCGGATTCGCTAGGTTTTCTTAGGATTCCCTTCGGATTCGCTAGCGTTCCTTCAGGATTCCCTCAGGATTCCCTCAGGATTCCTAGGCGCTCATGCACTTCAGGGATTCCTGAGGCGCGCAAGCGCGAACCCGGACGGGAACGGCGTGCGGTCTGCGCAAGGATTCCTCAGGATTCCATTAGGATTCGCTGAGGATTCGGTAGGATTCCTTAGGATTCCTTCGAATTTCCTTCGGATTCGCTAGGTTTTCTTAGGATTCCCTTCGGATTCGCTAGCATTCCTTCAGGATTCCCTTAGGATTCCCTCAGGATTCGTAGGCGCTCATACACTTCAGGGATTCCTGAGGCGCGCAAGCGCGAACCCGGGCGGGAACGGCGTGCGGTCTGCGCGAGGATTCCTTAGGATTCCATTAGGAGTCGCTGAGGATTCGGTAGGATTCCTTAGGATTCCTGAGGATTCCTCCGGATTCGCTAGGTTTCCTTAGGATTCCCTCCGCTAACATTCCTGCAGGATTCCCTTAGGATTCCCTCAGGATTCCTAGGCGCTCATGCACTTCAGGGATTCCTGAGGCGCGCAAGCGCGAACCCGGACGGGAACGGCGTGCGGTCTGCGCAAGGATTCCTTAGGATTCCATTAGGATTCGCTGAGGATTCGGTCGGACTCCTTAGGATTCCTTTGGGTTCCTTCGGATTCGCTAGCATTCCTTAGCATTCCCTTCGGATTCGCTAGCGTTCCTTCAGGATTCCCTTAGGATTCCCTCAGGATTCCTAGGCGCTCATACACTTCAGGGATTCCTGAGGCGCGCAAGCGCGAACCCAGACGGGAACGGCGTGCGGTCTGCGCAAGGATTCCTTAGGATTCCATGAGGATTCGCTGAGGATTCCATTAGGATTCGCTGAGGATTCGGTAGGGTTCCTTAGGATTCCTTAGGGTTCCTTCGGATTCGCTAGCATTCCTTAGGATTCCCTTCGGATTTGCTAGCATTTCAGGATTCCTTTAGGATTCCCTCAGGATTCCCAGGCGCTCATGCACTTCAGGGATTCCTGAGGCGCGCAAGCGCGAACCCGGACGGGAACGG